CGTACTATGATTCCTGCAGATCACTTGCCAAATGCGCCCATCTTCTGTGTAGTATGAGAAATTTTGTTTAAAGACAGAAACAAAAAAGACCCGCTTTGCTTTGGAAAATATGATAAGTAATTCTATAAGTTAGCCCCCTTCCGAAAAAAGATAAGATTTTTGAGTTTTGGGCAATTTTAAGTACATTTTCTTAATTTTTGATTATCAATATGATTTATCAGGAGGTTAGTTTTTTTTTTTAAATATCCCCAACCCTTTATTTAAGATTTTCCGTGCCTGTCTTAAAGAACAAAGTGTGGAAGAAAGCAAATATATCTAACAAAAAACTATCGTTAAATATTTCCGTTTCTAATTTTTCTCTCTGTGATAACTCTTTGAAAGTTAGCAGAGTTAATTTCTTGATAATTCTACCGGAATGTAAATTAGGCAGGTCAGTAGGCCAGGAGCTACATGTAAGGAGGCCAAATATGCATGAAAATCTCGTGCGGCTACCTTTGGGTTTGACGTCAGTGGGTGAGGACGGGATGGGAGTCCTCGTGTAATTTAAATCTATGTCTGCATTTTTAAAGTCTAAATCTACAATTTTATTTTACAATGAAATGGAAATATAAGGAATCACTGTCTAGTTAGTATAGTATGCCAGGGCATCAACAATAGTGGGAAACATGGGATAATCTATGCATAACGGACTTCGCCCGTTATGCAAATTATCCCATGTTTCCCACTATTGTTGATGCCCTGGCATACTATACTAACTAGACAGTGATTCCTTAAATAAATGTTTTACAAATAACCTAGATTCGATAAATCAGATATAAAATCAATATTCTTGATAGCATAAAGGTGACAGTCAAGGCCAAAAGGTAATTGACATTGGTGTCGTTTCAAAGAACTTGATTAGTGGAGTATGCACACCAAATATGAAGTCTCCATCTTCTATGGTTAAAAAGTTATAGCAAAGGTACGAAAAAGTTTTTTTATAGCCTATAGGTCACAGTCAAGGTCATAAAGGTGTCATTTGAAAGAACTTGATTAGTGGAGTATGCATACCAAATATGAAGTTTATATATTTAGACAATAAAATGCTTTATTTGTTTGATATTACTGGAATTAGCGGAAGCAGCTATGTTGCAGAAAAATTTTTTTTTTTCTGCAATACCCGCGACCGTTAATTCGGGTTTTGCTAAAACGCGGGACGGAAAACGGAACGGAACGGAAAACGGAAAATTAATGTCAAGCAAATAATCTAGATTTGATATAAATCACATATAAAAAAGCAATATTCATGATATAAAAGGCACCTCAAATGAAAAATTATCGTAAAATACGATATATTTATGAATCTGATGCACCCCTCAAGACTGGCACGTGTACATGCGATGGTCATTAAATACAGTCTGTGAGATATGTACTAACTAGATTCAAATCCAGAGTATCCAACTGAAGGTTTCTTTCAAATTAATTTTTTTAAGAAAGCTCACCCATAAACGAAAAATGTGAAATAGGCGGAAGGAAAACTACTAGTATGTACTGTATCTGTAACTTTAGACAAAAAAGCATGCACCCGTTTAACATTCAGGTTATGCATGCAGTGGCGTATCCAGGAATCTTGAAAGGGGGCAGTTTGGGGTCGGAATAGGTGCCCTCAGCAACACAAAAATTGATTTAAACAAGAGATGTTTGTAAAACACTTATGCCCCTCCCCCCAAATTGGAATTTTATTTGAAGTCCAAGGGGCATAACTATGTCAAAAATGACACGATTGAACCCAAAACAAAAATTAGCCTAGAAATTCATCTGATAAATCTGCATATTAAATTTCATCTCAATATGTGCAACGAGTGTAAAGAAAATGAACGGAAACTACAAATAATTGGATTTATTTTTCAAACTTCAAGGGGCATAACTCTGTCAAAAATGGTGCGATCGTACCCAAATCAGAACTTGGCCTAGATATTAATGTGATATATCTGTATACCAAATTTGATTTCAGGATGTGCAACGGTTGCAAAGGAAATGAGCGGAAACTGCAAATAATTGAAATTTTTCTAAGTCCAAGGGGCATAACTCTGTCAAAAATGGTGCGAGTGTACCCAAAACAGAACTTGACCTAGATATTTATGTAATATATCTGTATACCAAATTTCATTTCAGTATGTGCGACGGCTGCAAAAAAATGAACGGAAACTAAGTGGACCGACAGACCGACCGACAGACAGCAGCAAAGCAATATGCCCTCCCTTCTTCGAAGGGGGGCATAATAAACATGAATATTTTGGTCACCAAAATAGGTTGGCGGGGGGGGGGGGGGGCTTGGTCCCACTAAATCCACCAGTGACATCATATCAATGCAAATTGAGAAATTGCAAAGGAATTTAACAGCGTGTTCAACTGTTTTTTTAGCCAAGTTGCAACTTTTCAGATATGAGCGGGGAAAAAAAGTAGGGAAAGTCAAAAATTTTACGGGATCATTCATACCCATCCCCCACCTCCAAACACACTTTATCTTCAATGACTGTACAGATGATACATAAATTTTGCCACAGTTAAGATTTATAACTCCATTTATATATCAAGGATTTCAATAGATAGAAAGCAGCTCTATTTTGTATATAATTTTAACAAGTTTTACACTCGAGGTGTTTATCCAAGCTTGCCGGAAAGGGGTACTCTAACAGTAATCTTGAGATATTTTTTTTTTAGATTTTTATTTCTCTTACCAATTAACATGATTCATTTAGATAAATGTATAAAATGTTTGCCTCCCCCTCCCATTTTTTTAGACATAAGGTTTTCACTATAGAAATGTTTCATTGAAACCCCCAACACTTTCTAGATCTGTTAAATTAATGTAGAAAGTTAGTGTAAAAATAATGTGTACTGAAAGAAGTTTGACTTGCAATTTACCCCCGCCCCCTTCCCTTCCGAATAGAACAATTGCTTTCTTTTTTCGCTTGTCCAGTTCTTTTCAGGTACTAGTAAATTGATTGTTTCTTCTCCGACCCCCCCCCCCCCCCGACCCCCTTTTCGAAAGTGATGCTACGTCACTGCTATGTCAGCGGTTTTCGTGAATAAGAGACTTAACATGACTATAATCAATTTGTATTTATTAATGAGGAATTAAATATGCATATTTATTAAGTTTACCCTTTCTGATAAAATTTGTGTATTTTAAGGGGGCCGACTATAGTTTCCATTGCGCAATATTTCGCGCATCATAGTAAACTGAAGCGTATTTACTGTTTTAATGCAATTTTTTTCGCTTAATTATTAAAATTAAACAAAATTAAGTAATTATAAGTATAAAAGTGTAATTAATATTTGATATAACTGATTTTTTAACCGATTTTGCAATTGATAGGTAGGTTGACGTCGCTGCAGTGTCTTTTTGACGTTATGTTAATCTGTAGCTCTTAAAGAAAAGGGTAATAATAATATTATTACAGAAAAGGTAATGAACATACTCTCTTGAAATTTAAAACATAGAAATTTTAGAGCATCTCCAATATTTTTATTATGTTTTCTTGTAAATCCATTGTTTACATCATATTTTGTAGTACCTAAGACTCTATGCAAATAGTAAAATTTGCTATTTTTTTGCATTTTGAGATGCCCCCTCTGTTAAAAGACGGTAGAATTTTGTGTTTCTAAAAATGTCTATTGTAGTATTTGTATGATTTGCTTTAAAGTGCTAAAAATTGGCATTTTCTTATATAATCCTATAGTAAATGTACCTGTATTTTGAGACGGTCCCTCAAAAATACCTGGACGGTAGATTTCTTCCAAACTTTGCATGTACACTGAAGTTAATGTAAGTTACATATGGTATAAAAATGAATAGTTTTGCTATTGTAGTTTTCACACAATAAAACTATAGTCGGCCCCCTTAAATGATTTAATCAGAAATTATATTTTCCGTTTTCCGTTCCGTTCCGCTTTCCGTTCCGCGTTTTAGCAACACTCTGATATCGGGCGTTCAAATTTAACACAATATGCCATGAATAATGACGGTGTCGACTAGATGTAAGGACTTCCGTGTATTTATAGTTTTTGAAAAAAATCAACCAAGCCTGTCGTAAATTTAGCAGGGCTCAATTTAGCCCTGCTAAATTTACGACAGGTTTGGTTTATTGATGTCTTTTTTCAAAAGCTTGTTCTATTTTATTTGTGCCCTGCTATTCAAAAGAAGACGGTGATTAGATATATTCGGTGTTTCAGAAAATATTAAATAATCCAATGCAACAATCCCTTTCTTGCACATACACTGTAGCTTAAAAAAATATTTTTTTCGATAGCAGTAATGTTGACTGCAGTTAAAAAGAATTATAACTAGGTTTGTAAAATACAAAATGATAATGTCCTTATAACAGAGTGTTACTGTTTGTAGATAAACTTTGCCCTAAATAATAGGTCTATGAATAAAATTAGTCTCTGTGAACACTGTTTATCTTTGAAACGTATTCTCTAAAATGGCGTCCGTTCTAATCTTTCCATTTTTTGTCATCTTTGTAACCGGAAGTGTATACCCTGGTTTATGCTCCAAGCGTCTTTTGATTGACAGTTCCTCCATCTGCACGTGCACCCAGTTACAAGATGAGGTCCAGCAACTCAAATCTGCCGTGACATTACTGCAACAGGAAAACAAAGCTTCAAAGAATCACATAGGCGGTTAGATATGTGTGAAATTGTAGTTGAACATTAACTATTATTTATGATGTTTAGTTTAACAAGCACTTACTTTCATCATGTTTTGATTACTTTCTCAAATCAAACTGACATCGCAAAGCTTTAAAATAGTGAAAACAAAGACAGCGATTGCGGTGTACACGTACTGTTACACGTCATTAAAATCTCAACAGACAAATTACAAAAACGTAAAAAAAAAAAAGTAAATTGATTGATTGTATATTGTTTAACGTCCCTCTCCAGAATATTTCACTGATTTGGAGACGTCACCATTGCCGGTGAAGGGCTGCAAATTTAGGCCTTTGAGCAGGGAGGGATCTTTATCGTGCCACACCTGCTGTGACACGGGGCCTCGGTTTATACGGTCTCATCCAAAGGACCGCCCCATTTAGTCTCCTTTTACGACAAGCAAGGGGATACTGAGGCTATTCTAACCCGGATCTCCACGGGGCACGTCAAAGTAAAGGCACACGTCAAAGTAAAGGCACACGTACATGTACGCAATACAGAGCAATACGAAATCGTAAAGTAGGCTAGATACGCAATGCTCTTTTTCTGAATATTCTTTTACTTAGAGAGAGAGCCTGTTTAACGATGATGTAATGACGAATGGAACGATTAACTATATTTTTAACACATTGCAGGTGGTTCCACATATGTAAGATGGGGGAAACCAAACTGTCCTGCGGTAAATGGTACCATTCTTGTTTACACAGGTATATTTTGTTTGTTTAATTTGCAAATTGGTAACTGTCGTATACTGAAATCAAGTTTTCATTTTATGGAAAGAGAAAATATATAGAGACGAATTTCACCAATGAACGTCTTTAATTTTCAATCAACATAAATTGTGTAATAACTAATAACATATTATAATGCATTATATTGCAACAATCTATCCGTTGGCTTTCCCTTTGGTACCAATTGCGCCCCGATATTAGCTGACATTTTTATATTCATATGAAGCAGACTTTAATCAGACTTCTACATGAGAAGACGAAAACACTTCATGTGGCCTTCAACTCGACATTTCGATATATTGACAACACATTGTCAAAAAACAGTTATATTCATGCATAAAAACAATTCCATATATCCAATTGAATTTGAAATTAATCAAAAGTCTCTGTAGAGACTGTATCTCTACTTGTTTGTTCTCTTAACAAAGAAGAGAAACGTGGCAGCTAGACTTGAAACTTTGCAAAAGTAACAAATGGGATAATGATCCTTGATTTTGCCTATTTTGTGACAAGATTGCAAATACGAATTTAACTGTAGAAGTAACTTAAAAGCATTTTGGTTACCAAGGCACATTATTCATCAACATCAAGAAAGATAATTAATATAAGTTTTATGTCTAGTTCCATGCTACATTGCTGTGTATTAAATCAGACAAAAACTGTAAGAGGGGTAGCATTTTGAAAGTATTTCACAGAAATTATTTTTTTTAGTAACAATAACAACACTGTTCATCGAAATCAAAATCCGACGCAAAGAATTATACATTTAAGTGTACCGTAGTCAACTTGTGTGTTATTTCAAGCTATATTGAAATCAGACCAAAACTGAAGGAGGAGTAGCATTCTGAAAGTATTAAAAAAATTTCTCTATTTAGTAAACCGCAACACCTTTCATCGAAATCAAACACCGATACATAGAATTATGTTTTTTAGTGTAGTCTACTTGTAAGCCAAGATACATGCACATTAATATCAGATTAAAACTGTAGGAAGATTAGCATTTTACAGCTATTGCTAATTTAAGTAACCAAAGCAGCACCGTTCATCGAAATCACAATCCGATATAGAGAATTATGTTTCTTAATGTACTCTATTTGTGTGCCAAGTTATATTGAAATCCGACTAAAAGCGCAGGAGGAGTAGCATTTTGAAGGTATTTCAAAGACAATTTTTTTTTTAGTATTCATGACAACACCATTCATCAAAATCAAAAACCGATACATAGAATTATGTTATTATCTTTGTATAGTGTACTTGTGAACCAAGTAATATTGAAATCAGATCAAACCTGCAGGCAGAGTAGCATTTTGAAAAATTGTTTACAGACATTCAGACGGACAGGCGACGGACACCTTATTATCTCATCACCTCTTCAGTTCTCTAACCAGTAGAGTTAAAAAAAAGCCATCTACATCTGCCTCATACTTTCTGAACGATAACCCTCTAAAAAGGACACCGTCACAATATAGTCTTTTTTGTATTCTTTTTCTGTTAGGTCTTACAGGTGGGTCTCATTATGCAACACACGGAGGCGGTGTCAATCCAGTTTGTCTGCCACACGATCCGTCGTTCTTATATAGTAATCAGGTGACTGAAGATGGTAATGCTTATGCAACGATGTATGGTGCGGAATATCAGTTCAACTATAGGAAAGTTGCGATTGATGATGACGTGCCATGTGCCGTCTGCTATGTTCCCGCCACTGTGTTGATGGTACCCGCCAAAAATACTTGTCCCCCAGGTTGGAAAATTCAGTACAGCGGTATCCTTACAACAGACAGCGATGAGTTTAGTCCGTCCGAATACGTTTGTTTGGACGACGATCCTGTATACATGGAGGGAACCAGAATGGATAATTTTGACGGGAAATTGTTTTATCCTGTCCATGCCCGTTGTGGATCATTACCTTGTCCTCCATATAGAGCCAATACTATATTACGTTGTTGCGTTTGCTCAAAATAAAATCGAATATAACTATTTTTTGTTCTTGTGTGTTGATGTAAAATACATTTATAAAATTTTATAAACTATCCCTTGTTCATTCAAACTGGTAGCAAGCGCACATGACACAAATCCCAAGGCTGCCACATAAGTGTCTCTCGTGCATTTTGTTAGCGTTCCCCAAACAAATAATTTTTTACATTCAGTAGCTTTCTAAATGAGAGTGATAAAATTCTGATCTACAATTATAGGTGTATTACCCTAACAACAAATCAATTAAAAAACATGGCAATTTTTTTTAAGTTTGGAAAAAGGTTTAAAGAAAAAGATCCCTCACTTCTCAATCGGTCCTGAATGCCGAGCATGGCACAAAATTTTTAGCTGTCCATCTGCAAGAAGTGGCGTCTCCATATGAGTAAAAAATTCTCGAGAGGGACGTTAAACAATATATACAATCAATCATAGCAATACATGTGCCCAACTGGGATCCCCTTTTCTCTTTAGGATGTCATTTTGGAATATCCCGTTCATGTATATTATGACAAAGTACCTCCAAAATGTGGAGATTTATGAATGAAATGCTTTGGAATTGAGTCGATCTGTCTGACAGTGTATGAATGCCATAAGACAAACATTTGTGCTTTGAACTTGGTCATAACAGCTCATTTTTCATGGTTAAAACAATTCTATAAATAGAAAATCAAACTTGATCTATGGTTTGTCACTTCGTTAGTATAATTGAAATATATCTCGGGACGGGTGTTGCTAAAACGCGGAACGGAACGGAAAACGGAATATATTATTTTAGATCAAATCACTTAAAATACACAAATTTTGTCATAAATAATATTTTTTAAACACTTTGAATCCACTATTATCAAAAATAAGTTGATTTAGTCATGTTCAGCCTCTTTTTTTTTTATTGACAAACAAGTTGATGAAACAAGAATATCATTAGTCTCTTTGAAAGTCATCATTTCGTAAGTTCTATGGTCGATACAATGACCTTATCAGCAAAATTAATACAATTTATCATTGAGTCAAATGCTGACTGACGTTTTTCATACTAATTGTAACATGTAGTTCATTATTTATACACTGAATTGACGACGGAGTTTTCCCGTTATTTAATGATCATGATGAGGAGCACACGGCGAGTGTGACCAATCCGCAGGGGATGCTCACTCCATCATGGAACCTGATCAACCTCTGATGTTTTGGAGGTCCGTGTTTGCTCTCCTCCTATTTTGTATTGTTTTATAGACTTTTGATATTGAATACTGTTCGTTATCTCCATTTTATTCATTCACGAAAATTACTGACGTACGTAGCAGTGACATAGAATTGAATATGAATGTTCTTTGTGTGCGTGTATGTATGTGAGAGGGGGGGGTTAAACTTATCTGAAAAAAAAAAATGGACAAGCGAAAAAAAACCCACAAATTTATGATTCGGGAGGGGGAATCAGTTCCTAATCCAATGCCTTTCAATACATTTTTTGTTCACTTACTTACTACTTTAATTAACAAAGTGTGGAGTTTTCAATAAATATTTCTATAGTACGAAGGTTATGTCTGGAAAGGTGGGGGGGGGGGGGGGGGGGCAAATATTCGAAATCTAGACGTACCATGTTTTAAGAGAATGAAAATGTTTTTTTTAAAAAAAATCCTAAGATTACGATTAGAGCAGACCTTTTTGGCAAGCTCGGATAAACACCTCTAACATGTATAAAGTTCGTTTGTTCTTTAAATTTTATACCAAATCTTCCTATATGTTAAAATTCTGGGTACTTGTAAAGTGCGAAACGAAATAGAAACGAAACGAAACGAACTGAAACGAAACGAAATCTGCCGAAACGAAACGAAATCTACCGAAACGAAACGAAACCTACCGAAACGAAACGAAGTCAAGACGAAACGAAACGAAATCAAAACGAAACCTGCCGAAACGAAACGAAACAAAACTATCAGAATGTTTATAAATATTGGCTATTTTTACTTCATATGAAATTTATATAGTTCAAGCACCACAGGCAATTGTTTCGCTTCAAGCTCCAACATAGGCGTCGGAAGGAAATTTAAAGGGGGGGGGGCTTAACCAACAAAAAAGGTAAACACCAGTTTTCAATGCCTATATATCTTTGCAAGAAAGTGGGGATGGGGGCTAACCCCCCACCCCCACCCCCGCCGCTTCTGACGCCTATGTCATATTTTCTGTATATCTTACTGAATAATTTACCTACTTAACGAGTGACTTTTTATTTGTCAGTTAATTCGTTTTAGACGTCTCTGGTCGACCCCCTTTATTGCAAACCACTCATTTCTTCCTCGAAAATTAACTCGATAAAAATAGGACCGTATGTACGTTGAAAGGATACAAAAGATTCCGGTTGGAGTATAATCATGTATAATCTGATTGAACAATAAAACCAGACACCTTGGAATGGAATACTAAATACTCTAAGTCTCTAGTTTATCCTAGTATGTTTTAAGACATTCGCAATACTACAGTACAGTGACTTTATTTCGACCCGTACATAAACGAGCCTTTACATGTAACACATCAATTTTGATAGATATGTTGTATCTAGATAAATAAGGACTGAAAATAAGAGTAAGATATACAAATTAGAAAATAATGCAAATAAATACATCATTAGACTGAGAAGGGAGCATAATTTATCGGTAATTAAATTTATATTAACAAGTGCTTGAAGTGTATAAATTTTATTTGAAGTAAAAATAAAAGTCCACATGCAGTTAACTTACACATACATAATTATAGATATGTATCTTGATTTAAGAAAAAAAAAACATTTTGATAGTTTTGTTTCGTTTCGTTTCGGCAGGTTTCGTTTCGTTTCAGTTCGTTTCGTTTCTATTTCGTTTCGCACTTTAAAGGTACCCTAAAATTCTGGATAAATATAGTTGGAAAACTTTTCTGTGTTAAAAATGTGTTAAAGTAATAGTTTGTATCTGGTACATGTTTGCGTGTGTAAGGGGGGGGGCAGGGTTGATATGAATGATGAAACTTTTTAGATTATTTTTCCGCTCTTTCGAAAAGTCTGAAAAGTTACAAATGGTCCGCCCCTCCCCTATTGACATTAGCTCCAGAACTTTTTACCATTGAAATTTTCATTGAAACCCAACAGTTTTTATTAATGCAATTCATGTAGTAAGATAGTGTAAAAAAAGTACTGAAAGAAGCTCCTGGATTCTAGAGATTTTGTAGGTAAAATTGAGGTCCACATTTTCTCGACGATACTACGATTTACGCTAACTTTGACAATTTTAGGGGGGGGGTCCGCCCCTCCCACCCTCCTAAATCTGTCACTGAATCCTGTAATTGCATGCATTGTGCCTAACACAAAGATTAATTTTACAAAAGGATAAACACAGTCTTTAAATTTCTAGAGATTCATGAAAAACCCAGCTTCCAAACAAATGACTTTACAATAATATATATCAAAGAGCTGACACAGAGTTTTCAGTTGTGTTGAATTCAAATTCTGAATATTACAGTTTACTGTAAATCGAATTGAGCTTTTTGTTCAACTTAATTATTTTGCGTAACATTGAATTTACCGCAATAGTTTAAACATAATCCTAGGTAATAAAAAATAGTTGACAATTTCCATTATTTCATGATTATAAGTCCATGAAAAATTAACGCTTCCTCTTTTCCTGAGTACTTAAATTTGGGTTTTTGAAGTGTAACTTGTCAAGTATATTCTGTAATTCTTCTGGTGAGTTAGCGAAAATATGACACTATTTAACAAGATATAATCTAGTAAATGATGCTTTCTTTGTAGGTTTTCAATTGCTATACTATGGAATAATAATAAATATAATCTAAATAATTTAGTATTTTTGCTTTTTTTTTAAAAATTAATTTGTGATCATTTTTATTGATTGGATTTGTTGACGTCTTTTTATAAGCATAACGTCAACGTAACGTTGCGTGTCTCGTGTGACCCAATTAATCATACAGAAAGAAGACTCTCATTATTTAATGCTTCAGGTGTATCTATGTGTTTGATGCAATTGAACTTTAATAATTCTGGTTCTGGGTAAAAGAAAAAAGAAGAGAGAGAATATGTTTTGAATTTATTACTTACGTTTTGACCTCAATGATACAAGATACTTTCTTCAGAAAAGTGGTCACACGCTAGGGCAATACCATTACATTTAGCAATCTAATTTTAGTAACAATGCTTGACCAAAAAATATCAAAATTATTTTTTTCCTAAATGATTTTTAATAAGCTTTGATTTGATATATAACTCAAGTGGTAAATACTAAATATAAAATTTGACTTGTGGATGCTATGCAGTGTTTAACGCAATGGGTTTTCTTAAGAAATAAAGGAGAAATTATTCAGTGGATGTAAATATATCTTTCATGGTTCAAAAGCTATGATGAAGCTTAAAGTTTGCAGACAAACAAACTAACAGACAGGACAAAACAATATACATGTACGTCCCGGATCTATCGATCCAGGCACATAAAAAAGACTAATTAGTATGTAATTACAAAAACAAAGTAGTTAATTTGACATTCAGATTGTGAACACTGAAAAAAAAAATAACTAGTGAAAGTCACTGGGAAGACTAGGAAATTTACTGTCCATACAATCACTACCTTAAAAGTAGTTTTACTAGGTATTGG